TTTAGAGAGCTTGGCAGAAGGGAAGCTGCCAACTCCACTTCATTCCACGTTGCTGCTTGCCCTCCATACTGCAGATTCTGACCTGTGGCTGCTCCTAAAGCTTCTTTAAAGAGAATTATATTCAGAAAAACAGGTGGGAAAGGAACACAATTATGTAAGCCAAATTTTAAAATCTTGTATGTCTATATTGGATATCTAAATACAAATCTAGGGCCCTAAATAAAACAGTGGATAGATTGAAGAGATGCCAATCGTAGGATTATTAAATAACATGAAGAGGAAAATACACTGCTGGCCCCTGTATCCTCCCAAGACTTTATCCGCAGCAGTTCTCTCCCTGTTGGGCACATGTAAAGGGCTCTTTTGATCCATTTAAGCACATTTCTCCAAAAGCTGTTCAAGATTCTTCTCAGGGATTTATCCATTATGTAGTCTGAAAGGCAGCTGCACATGACCCAACTGTGGCATCATGTGTGATATAAAAACATATGCTTAGCTGCAGTTTGCTACAACAGTTCTTAATCATATGTGGGAAAGTGCATTTTAAATTAAACACTATTAAAAGGACCAAGCTTTTTGGCACATCAGTGACAATTCACACACAAAGTGAATAAATTAATTTAACAAAAGTGTATAAGCAATTATAAAACTGATTATATGTGCTCAGTAAGAAAATTCTGCACTATTAACACCCAATAAGCAGCACTAATAGATAGTAATTAGTCACAAACCTTAAACTAAAAATATTCAATACTGTTAATTTAGATTAGTTAAGACTTATATACAGTACAAAGTGAAGCTGAGTCATATCACATTTATGTAACTTGCTCTGGGTAACTAGATATTCTCTACTGAGCAACAAGTTTGTGCAACTTTGAAACTAAAGGTGGGAGCGTGTCCAGGAACTAGATCCAGTAAAGGATTTAAGTACCTTAAACTTTCTTGCATAGTGGAATCCAGGCTCCCTGTACAATGCACAGGAGAGTAAGTCATCTCAGAATGACATCCAAAATGGCCAGCACACTAATCAGAAAGCCACCAAAGAAAGCAAACCTTCCAAGAGCTAGCTAGCTGGAAACTGAGTATAGAAACCTTGCCCATCTCAGAAAAGTGCCTCTACTCGGGATCTGTAGCTTGGAACACTCTCCTTTAAGTAGGCACTTACAGCTGTTCTTTCGAAGAACTGGGAAGGGCTGACTTCTTAACTTTAAAATACAGCCAGAGGAGGTCATGGTATATAACACCTCTTATATAACAGCCCAACCACTTGCCTTGGAAGTGCAAGACCCACATCCGATTCGCTCCTTAGCCTGAGAGGGTTTAAATGCACATCTCCCATCGCTAAGAATGTCCTACCCACAAGGCTTCTTGCTATTTTGAGCAGAAGTCTTCTTGTCCCTTCTCTTGAAACTGTACAACTGTTCAGAAAAAACAAAGTATTTCAAGAATCACGAGGCCAGAAGGAGAGTACAAGAGGGAGCATAGCCATGTAACATAGGGTTAGGGTTGCGAGGAGAGAGCCTTGAGGAGACTCAGCTGTGAGGAAGGAGCCTTGAGGTTCAATCAGTATTTCATCCAATGACTGTTTGGTGTAATATATGGAAACTATGCTGGGAGTAGGGACTGGATCAAAAAACATTTTGGACTGGGTCAAAAAACATTGTTTTTGGAATCAAGGACTTCTCTCTCTCATGTTATATAAGTCAATCAGTAGGCCAAAGTACAGCTCCAAGAATGACCCCTCATCTTGAGGGACTCTGGGATCTAAAAACTAGGTGTTCCTCCACCAGTCAGGGTGGGTGTGAGCTTGTCATCCAGCTGCTAAGTCCTGTCCAGACTGGGCATCTACAAAGCCTTATAGTAAACAGTAAGCTATCTGGAGTTTTGGTGCCTCCAGTAGTCAGTGGCAGCTGCATGTCATTCTCAGGATCACTCTTGCAGACTTCAGTACTTCAACCCCACTTTAAGACCCTGAAACCTTTTAATGAAACTTAGAAGTACAGGTCCCATGGGTAATCCTAAATCACTAGGATGCTTTTCCAGATACTGGCCTTTAGCTGTAAAGCCAGCAGCTGCCAAAACTAACACCTATATAAAACCTTATATTCTTTTGCTTAAAAGAAAACCAGTAGCTTATAGACTTCTGGAAAATGATATTTATATCTGATCTGTTTAAATTAACAAGTTAATTAAAACATGTAGTGTTTTGTACTCCTTCCCCATTTATAAAGAACAAAGTTCTTGCAACCTCAAACTATTTCGATAAGCAATTAATTTTCAAGAAAGATGTGCCCATACTGTGCAAGTGTCAGATAATACAGGACATAAAAGCCATTTTCAATTACTGACATGTAAGTAGAATCAGCTCTACAAAAGATCTTCCTATTTCCTATGCAACTCCAAGCATAAGGAAATTAGAAAGTAAAAAATATCACTATTAGAAAGTCTAGAATTATTTCAGATACAGTAGGTATTGCTTTAATTGAAATGCATATTCCTTATTTCAGTTAGTATATTAGTTATTGTAAAACTGACCATAACATTTAATTTTGCAATTTTAAGTCCACTGCTGTATTCATTACTAGCTATGTAGTGTCAGCAAAATAAATTCTGTATGACTGCATAATTCTTTGTTTGACTATTTCTAATATATGAATTATTTTGCATAAAACATAGACTAAGTTTTTCACGTCACAGCAATGGTCTACCATGGAGCTCAAATTAATGCATCAAAACATAGCACAGCCTCAGCTCCACACCAGTACCAGTAATACATTGTAGCTGCTGTAGAGATGTAATAATAGCTGTTACTTTAGTGGCAACTGATGTTACACAAGTATTTGATCCTAATCCCAAAGAAATATCACAGGCGATTTACATATAGTTTATTTATTGCTCCTCTAAACTGCGGTTGATGCCACTCTGTATATTGATAAAAGAAACAGCAGGTTTCCTCATGTCCAATAAGCCATTCTTCAGGGTTAATGGAATAACAGTTCAGTAATTTCTTGCTCGCCTACTGCTACCCTTAGTGTAAAGAATAACATCAAACAGTGTCACAGGCACATAGTACCTTTTGCCAAAATAAGGGGCTACCACTCTACCAACAAGCTTCAGTTTTCTGCTTCCAGTAAATAAATAAAGTGAGAACCTGAATGTAGCAGGACTCTCGCCAGCTGGCTGAAAGCTTGCTTGGCAGAGCCCCTGAACAGTTGCCAAGAGGCAGAGATTTAAATGAAACCCCGGTCATTTTTTTAAGAAAAACCAAATAAATAAGCAAGGGATCTGGAAGTTGAAGCCTAAGGTAATAGTGTATATATCACATTTATGCATCTTGGAATATATAAAGGCACCTCCCTCGAGCAAGGAGCTGCTTGCTTTGCTGGAAAGGCTTAAACATTGCTTTCTGCAGGGATAACTCTCTCTCTTTGGAGAGGCAGGAAGCAATACAAGTTTAGTGGTGTTTGGACCAACAAGACTTTTGTTCAGTTTGAGGGAGAGCAAACCCAGGTCTGACTAGCTCTGTCAATCAACACATGCCTCTCATCTTCGGGTAAATGGAGGGGGGAGCGGGCGCAAGGAACTTCGTTCTCTTTCGAAAAAGTGTTTGCTAGGGGGTGATGCACACCTTTATCACCACGGCTCGCAAAGCAAACGGCTCTGGCTGCCGCCAGCATGCCCAGCCTCTTCATTTCGCACACAGGCAGGAAACGAAGAGCCAGCGGGCTGGCTAAAGAAGTCACCTGTCCCTCTGCTGGGGCCTTTGCAAAACTTGTGGCTGGTCCGAGCGGGACAAGCATCACCTCTCCGCGGGCCAGCAGGGAGGCGCCGACAGGCCCCACGCAGCGCGGGGCGCGGGGCCACCGCGGGCGGCGCTGCCCAGAC